GGGGTCGGAGCTGCCAAACTTTTTGTAACCATTTCCGCCATCAAAGCTGGAAGCCCTGCTTTACCAGACTGGCAGAGTGCAGCGCAGGGTGGGCGACTTCCATGTTAAGTGAGACCTTGGTATTTATCTTCAGTCTTGCGGCTCTGGAAGAATGCTCGTTCTAGATCGTGCTCATGGATGACTATGTCCTCAGAATTTTGTAGGCTGTTAGCGTGATTCTCCTTGTTTTTAAAGTTAAGGGTTGCAGTGGAAGTACATGCACGTTGGCTGTTGGAAAGGGGCTAATCAATGGGTAAGAGCAGGGATGTCTGGACGAGGAAACGCGAGTCCCTGCTTGTTCTTCAGGTGGCGTCACCTTACTGAGAGCAGCAGCCAAAAACCACGCGCGCGTGACCGTCGTGTGTGACCCAGGGGACTACGAGGCGGTGTCCGGGGAGATGCAGAGCTCTGACCGTAAAGACACCTCCTTGGAGACTAGGTGCCAGCTAGCCTTGAAGGTGGGGCCCCCACCCTTACAGTGCTGTAAGGTGACAGCAGTGTTGGCCAGACCAATTGTTGCTGGCTCTGTCGTATCCCCGCCCAAACCTTTACCTGGAACGTGCGTGTTCTCCTTTTGTTAAAAAAAAGAGGCCACAGATTTTTGAGTATTCTGTTAGTAAAAGATGGATAGAAAATTGATCAGGCTAATAATTCATCAAGCAGTGTGATGTTCCTGGGTGCCTTTTACCTGTGTGGAGGGGGCGGGGTGGGTGAGTTGGGGGATGGGGCACCATCTGCTGTAAATCACCAGAAGTTCATCTCTTGCCCGCTTTTTGACAAGGCTGCTGGTGTTGCTTACGTAAAGCTTGCCCTTCTGCTGCAGGCGTTCACTCACACTGCCCAGTACGATGAGGCAATTTCCGATTACTTCAGGAGGCAGTTCAGTAAAGGAGTGTCCCAGCTGCCCTTGAGGTACGGGATGAACCCGCATCAAACACCTGCTCAGTTGTACACACTGCAGCCCAGACTTCCCCTCACAGGTAAAGCATCAGTGCTCTGTGACTGACTGTGTGTGTGTGTGCGCGCGCGCGCGTGTGCGAGGTGTGCTGCATTTAAAAGATAAAGTTATTACAAAATACCCCTTAGAATCCTCTGAAGTTTGAGATGCCCGTTGGTAGCATTCCCTACATGTTTCTTGAATAACTGTGATTCGAAACCGCACTTAGATCAAACTTCTAAAACATGGTATCTATGTAGCTTTTAAAGCTTCTATTTCCCACTTATATTCTGAGGTCAGAAAAAGTTGCCCTATACTCGTTTTCCTCCTCTGAGTTTTCGAAAGCGATTCGTTAACACTGAGCACGTTTTGAGTCATCGTCTCATTTGGATGTGTGCTCCTCTTGATGTGCGGAGAGCTGTTTGTGGGAAACTGGCCCACGAGGTACAGAAATAAGGATCTCCTTGTTCCCCCCTCCCTCATGAATCCTTGATAATTTATAAATTATTATTTTGTGATGCAGTCTTTTTAAAATATTGTTAGTTCCGCTGGATTCCACTGCTGTCAGTAGTGTACTTTTTTTTTTATAGAACTCCGTTTATTCTAATATTTTTTTAAATAAATGCATATGTATCTGTATCTTGGCACAATCTCTTTGATCGTGCCTGTGTATCTTTTTTTACCGGTAGTTGTAAATGGAGCCCCTGGATTTATAAACCTGTGTGATGCGTTGAACGCCTGGCAGCTGGTAAAGGAGCTCAAAGAAGCTTTGGGCCTCCCCGCCGCTGCCTCTTTCAAACACGTCAGTCCAGCAGGTAAGGCCTTGTGCTCCGGAACTCTGAAAAATGCATTTCTCTTTCAAGTGTAGAAGGCTGACCATTACCAATACCAATTTTTATCAAGTCTGCTGGTAACCGGATCAATCTCGTAGGATGTGAAAAAAGCTGAGTAACAGTAGGCTGAAAGTTCATCTGTCTGTCCAGCTACGTACATACGTGTCACTTAATGAAAATGGCATGAAGTTATCCAGAGACAGGAAGGTCAGGTGACCAGTCCTTTGCAATGAAATGGGAAAATGTAGGGAAAGGAACTGGGATGGCTTTAATGCCAGATGCCCCGATGACCGTGTTTTTCCCCAAGATTGGAAATGAAAACCCGTATAGAGCCACGTTGTCCATCCCTTGTAGTAGCCATGGTAAACAGTGCCTTCATCTCTCTGGTCACATTAACACCACAGTTTGCATTTCGTGAGCAAGGAGGCAATGCCGGGCATGAGATCTCAAGCAGGAGCAAGACCAGGGATGGGGGGCGGCAGGGGTGGTGGTGGTGGGGGGGTGTTCTTCGTGAGATCAGAGAACACGGAGCACTGGCCTCTTCCAGTGCTGAATGCTCTGGTCAGGCACATGCTTGTTTCATGGGCCCTGGTCGTGGTGCTGCATAGACTGGATGTTAAGAAACATCTGACCTTGATTAGAGAATTGACAAGTGATAACCTGAGCTTGCTTGCTTTCCTATTTGTGGGTTTCTCCGCCAGGTGCTGCTGTTGGGTTTCCACTCAGTGAAGATGAGGCCAAAGTGTGCATGGTCTTCGATCTCTACCCCACCCTCACGCCCATTGCTACCGCGTATGCCAGAGCAAGAGGTCAGACAGGTGCCAACAGGGCCATTTGAATTTAGAGATTAAAACTATATTTATCTTAAGTAAAACAGTCATCTTTATTTCATTTCTCTCATGTCTTTCTGCTGTTAGTTACGGTCTGTTAATCCCTTCAGTTACTGGATGGGAGCTGTGAAATCATCTGTTTGTAGCAGTCTGTGCTAGTCTAACGCAGGGAAATATTACTGGACCTCGGGGCATAGACCTTCAGAGGAGGCTGTTGTATGCGTTTACGTTTTTAATAATGTGACTGCGATTGTGTGGTTACTCTATTAGATTTGAGAATTTCATAAAACATTTTCTCGAAGCATCTCATTTCTTGAGTTTATTTTGTAAGTTGTAACACCTATGGAAGGTTTTTGAAAATGCAGATATTGTACCTTCTAGAACAAGGATCAGCAAAGTGAAGCCCGTAGGCCATATCTGGCTCATCTCACCGCTTGTTTTGTAAAGGCCTTTCACTGCAGGGTGGCCATGCTTCTTCATGGACTCTGCCTGGTGTGGGGCTTTAGCCACAAAGCCGCATGGTTGCAATAGAGACCGAGCACATGCCTACAGAGCCTGCAAAGTATTTTGCCAACCTCTGCTCAAGAATATTATTTTCCTGATTCTTCTGTTAATGACTTATTAATTTGTTGCTTTAAATTTTATATAAATAATATTAGATATACAGAAATAGATTTGTGTGTTCCTGCAGGGATTTTAAATGGTCTTGCTACATGAGGATAATCACTTATTTTAATTACTTACAGGGGCTGATAGGATGTCTTCATTTGGTGATTTTATTGCACTGTCTGATATTTGTGATGTCCCTACTGCCAAAATCATCTCCAGAGAGGTTCGTAGAGAGACTGTCTTTAGTAGAAATAACCTTTCTATCCATCTATAAATGAAGCAATAGTTAAACTCTCAGCTTCTGTGTTAGTCTGCGTAAAGTAGGGAAACAAATCCCTTATATCCAACATTAGCCCATATGTCCGACACCCATCTACAAAGTCCCCTCAATCTCACAAAACACACAGTGATGCCAACTGCAGGAGTAAAGCCGAATCAGTGAGCGTGTAAGTGTAAGCATCTCAGCGCTGGCAGGGGTGTCCACACGGCTGCTCCAGCACCCAGGGCTGCATCGGGGTAGATCCATGTGGCTTCTCCTCAGGGATATCTTGCAGGAAGTGAACCTTGCCCGGTGAAGCAGAGACCTGGCTAAGGCAGCTACATCCTGGTCCAAGCTCAGAAAGAAAGAGACTAGAAAGGCGAGGCTCAATTACTCCCTCATGTGTTTATCGACCAGGTTGCCACAATAAACCTTGTCTCAGCTTCTAACGGAAAGATTGATGGTTCAAACCCACCCAGTGCCTCCATGGGAAAAAAATGTGCTTTGCACCCATTAAAATAAGTAAGTCTATAGAGGCAGTGACTGGGTGAATAATTATGCATCTTATTGTGGATGAACTTAATGTTGAGATGTAGGATATGTGAGTTATATTCCAATAAACCAATAAAAAAATTCAGCAGTCTTAAACCTAATGGGACAGTAATTCTGTCAAGCATGGGGTTGACTAGCCGGCACCTAACAAAAACAGATAACGCCATTTTCCTGTTCACCAAAGCCATAACCTAACTTACGTTTGTACCAGTGTCAGGCTAATGAACGTTTATCATTTTGAATGTTCTTGTTTGTGTAGAACATGCATCCTTGAACTGAATGATAATTTTGACCTGTGATAAATTGTTTCAAATTGCTGTTTGGCTGTTCAGATAAACTTGTTTTTATTTATACTTTATCCATTTTCATTTGTCTGGTAGTTGTTATAATAAAAGCCCAAGCGATTGTTTCCTAAGAGGATAAAATGCTGCCTTAGGTGGTGCTAAAGTGAACCTTACTATAAACCCATGGGGGAAAGAAAAACTATTCAGAGAGATCGAGTCACACGAGTTGAACACCAAGTAAACATGCATTTTAAAAAGCCACCTGGGAGGACAAAGAAAAGGGGGTGAAAGAAGGTAGCTCAATAGCTTGGAGGAGTGGGGCTAGAGATGAAGGTGTGTGTGGTTTGACAGTTTACCACAGTGTTTACCATATATACTCTAGTATAAGCCAACCCTAATATCAGCTGAGACATGTAGTTTTATCACAGAAACTACATAAAAATGTGCTGAAAAACTCAGCTATACTCGAGTATATACGGTATCCGCTTTGGGTATTTTTCATATGGGGTCTGATTTTTTTTTTCATTATTCCTCAATGTAAACTTGGTCCCCACCCCTGCCGCTGTGGCTCCACACATGCCAAAGTACATTGAGCTGACAGCAAGGCTTGGTGTAAGGCTGTGATATCTGCACCTTTATTATAAAATGCAAATACACGATTTAATCGCATCCTTTTGTCTTCCTTTTGAATAACTTAGCTTGCCGCAAGTCACTTAACAACAGCTGAGGCTAGAACAACACCATTTCAATACAAAACAGCGCCCCATGAAGAGAACAGGGTACCCCCACCCCCAGGAACGTGGGTTAAAGCGCTGTTAGAGAGTATCTTGGTTAGAGCTGAAACAGTGAGCAGCGCTTTGAGAGGATAGCGATTTGTCAGGTTCTGCGAACGGACAGAAAGCTGTGTCACCATTGGTGTGGTGGTGAGTGTAGGAAGCTATCTTATGCAGGATTACAGTTTCTAAGGACTATTCGTCAGAGGCCAGATCAGCAGATGTTGCTGCTGTGATCCCCTCCCTCCTGTTTTAATAGAAATGAACTAATCCTTAATATATTTGCAGGTGTCTGATGGCATTGTTGCGCCAGGATATGAAGAAGCAGCCCTGAAAATTCTGTCTAAAAAGAAAAATGGAAACTACTGTGTGCTTCAGGTGGGTGCATTTTGTGTTTGAGAACGTAATTAGCTCTTACATTTTGTGACTTTCCCCATTTTTAAGATCAGTCTCCTGGATGGCGCCCCTTCTACTTTCACTCTGTGTGGTAGTTCCTTAGTCCTGAGCGTCGTTTAATTAATCTTGCTGTAGTATTAGAGGACTAAAAATGGTGTCCTAAGCCTTAGTTTTTAAGTAAATTTATTTCTTAATGAGTGGTGTGCTTCTCTGTTCTCAAATGCAAAGGCATAGGGTGAAAATTCTCCCCATGATCCCCCTGCTGCCTGTTGCCTTTTTTTCATAGGCACTTAATGGTTTTGGATGTTTTGCTTTTTTTCCTGAAAATGTGTGCACGAAGCAAGTATTTGCTTGTGTTCCATGTATGGATGCACCTTACACAATCGTATAGGTGTGTTCTGTGTATCGTCTCTGGAGTCAGTCTGAGCTGGTACGCACACCTGGAGTGTACAGCCTAGGCAGGGCCTAGGTGTGACCTTGGGCTGCTCGTCCTCCAAGATGCTGTTGAACAAACGGGATACCCCAACAGTGCGTGTTCAGCATCCCCCTGCGCTCTTAAACGTGGTCATCTCTGCCGTGGGAGGGACATCTGGGCGAGTTTTAATTTCTCGTTACGAGTGAGATGGTCGTCTTCTCATAATCGAGTCTATGTCCTCTTTGTGTCTTGTCCGTACTCGTTGCCTGTTTATAGATCACATTGCTGTGATATTTTTCTGTTTGGGCTCTATTTAGAAGTATGCTGATTCAGCGGTTAAGTGCACGCTGCTAACTGAAAGGTTGGTGGTTCGAACCCACCCACCGGGCTTTAGGGGAGGAAGGACTTGAGTAGCTGCACTTGTGAACACTCGCCCCACGGGGCAGTTGCACTCTACACCCGCGAGGGTGCTGGTGTTCGGATCAACGTGACGTGATCTGTCGGTCTTACACATCTGGGAGCTGTGGTGGTGTCACGCAGCGCCCCTGTACCGCATTTGAGAGCATTCGCCTGTTTTGCTGATACTTGTAGTTCTGTGTGTCTAATTTTTTAACCCCCCCTTTTTTCCATTGGGAGCCTCTTGTAAGATACATGCATATGCACCCACTTTTCTTACGTGTATTTTTCTCTGTTAAAGTATCAGGACCGCAGTGTTAATTACAGTTCATTTAAAATCTGATAGAGGTTGCTTCCAGTCCCTAAGTACTTTCCCCCCAGTTCATTTTCCCTGGCTATTGGTAGGGTATGAGTTAGCACTTGTTTTTATTTTGGATGAATTTGTAGTAGCAACTAGTAACCCCGTCCTCCTTCCAAAAACAAAGACATAAAAAGCCAAAAGACAGGAAGATCTTGACAGTTGCATTTTGATCATGGAGAATGACATAGAATGGTGGTGCTTTTATATCAGCTGGTATATGTAACCCTGTTTTGTGCCTACGTTAAAAAAAGTTGAGAGATGTAACTAATCTTGTAAAATTTTAAATTTCTAACTTAGATGGACCCTTCGTATAAACCAGATGAAAATGAAGTTCGAACTCTCTTTGGTCTGCGTTTAAGCCAGAAGAGAAATAACGGTGTCATCGACGGGTCATTATTTAGCAATATTGTTACCAAGAAGAAAGAGGTAAGTCGGAGCCTGTGATCTGAATTCCCTTCGTCCTGTCTGCCTTTAGAACCAATGGATACACAGTGGGCGAGTTCCTCTTCTGCCGGCAAGTCAGCCGGTGTTCGCCAAGCTAATAGACCGTATTATAAGCTTCTGTACTTCATGTTGTAACTGCCTTCGTTTATATCTGATGACTTCTGGCTTCCTTATGACCTGTGGCAGAGGTCAGACATCCTTCCACCCTCCGTCCCTTCGATACTGTTGTCTAATAGCGGCCACTCATCATGGCCCCCTACTTTTCTTTCGGGTCCGGTGATTTGTTGCACACAGAACTCACCGACGAGACTCCAGCTAAGGAGTTTATTAGGGACGTGAACAAGCGACCACAAGTCAGGATCCGTAAGCAGCAGTAAGGATACAGTCCTTACTGTATCATCTTCATCCTGTGGACCATCTTCATCCTGTCGAATTGAGCTGCTGGAGTTGATTGGCCGTCAGCTTTTGTGAGGTGGTCGGTTTAATGCTCTACTGAAAGCCTTGGTAGAACCACTCTCTGCACCAGTGCGCTGCAAACACCTTTCTCCTGTGTGCTCAGTCTCTTTAGGTGTTCCGTTAGTGCATGCAGCCTGGGAAAATAGGGTGACGGTAAAAGCATGTATTTGGGGACCCACTTTCTGTAGTCTTTATCTCATCAATCATTGCCCAAGTATTTGATCTAATTCATGTTCAGCTTTTCTGTTTGCTCCTGCCAAAAAGACTGGTTTATTCTTTTTTTTTTTTTTTTTTTTTTTTTTGGGGGGTCATTTTATTGGGGCTCATACAACTCCAATTCACTGTGTACCACGTGGAAACTGAAAAGCTGCCCCGAGGTTGTGGAGTTAGATATGCTGAAAGTAGACTTTGAGATCTTTACCCAGAGAATTAGTAACCTGTTCATATCACATGCCTGCTTACTTACTTTTGCTTGATCACATAATGGATATTCTTCCATTTTTATCTTGGGGAATTAATGGTGACCCTGAGGGAGTTGATTCTGACCCACAGTGTGACCCTGTGGAGCAGGGTAGACCTGCCCCGCAGGATTTTCAAGGCCATGAGACATTTAAGGAAGCTGACTTCCACGACTGGAAGAGTTAGCCTGGCAATGGGTAAATAAGGACCAGTATGATTGTCTTATCGCCCTTTGTAATCACATATCCCATTCCCCAGCCCATTTTAAGGTACTTTTGTTATCAAAGGTTAGATTAGGTCCAGAACGGTTGGAGTCCTGAAAGAATTGGAGATGAAAGGAGATTGTATTCTACAGAACATTTCAATCGGTTGGTCTCCACCCCCCACCTCGCTTTTTTTTTTTTTTTAAAGAATGCTGTTTCATTTGTATCATGTGTATAAGATTGGCACTCCTATCCCCAGGTGTTTTTAATAGTCCTTGATCTTAAACTCAGGGCACTAACATTCTATTTGGAACAGGAAGACATCTAGTAATGGCTTTCCTTATTAACCTTTTTTGGAAAATCCCCCGCCCCAAAAAAACCCCCAAACCCAGTGCCATTTCTAAGAGGCTGTAGAATGGAACAGTGGTGCTTACATACCATCTTTGGAGGCTAGCTTTTCCCACTCAGCATAGTTCTTTCTTTGTAGCTTCATCCACATGTGGCATGTGCATTCATTTTGTCATTGAGCAAGATTCTGTAGTGTGACTGTTTGCCACGTGAAGGATATTTGGGTGGTGTTTGCTATTTATGAATAAGGCTGCTAATTACATTATCATGTGGATTTTTAGATGAACGTTAGATTCATTGCTGTGGGGTAAATGCGCAGGTACGCATGCAGTTGGTGGTGTGGCATTTGCATGTGTAGTTTTGTGACAAACCATCCGGCATTCTTTATTGACACCAGCCATGCATAAGCAGGCCAATTTCTCTGCCTCCTTACTAGCTCCTATCAGTATCTTTTCCCACCTTCTACTAGACCTATGACGGGAGAGGTCATTTGGGGGCAGTTAGAGACTCTGGCTAGAAGAGCCACATTAAACAATTTCCCACCTCCTCCTTGACCTATGACGGGAAAGGTCATTTGGGGGGAGTTAGAGACTTTGGGTAGAAGAGCCACTTTAAACACTTTCCCACCCCTGCAGGAATTACAGGTATCATCTCGTAAGTCTTGGTAACTGACCAATCTGTCTGGAGCAAAGGTTTGAATTTTGATGGATTTTTAACTCAGTAGCTTTACAGTGAAGGAGCTAATTCATCAGTGAGCTTCTATTTTCCCCAAATAATTTTCCAGTGCATACATGGCGTAGTGGTTCTGTGCTAGGCTGCTAACCCTGAGGTTAGCAGTTTGAAGCCATCAGTGACTCTTCCAGAGAAAGCGGAGGCTTTCCACTCCCATAAGGCATCTTGGGGAAACCCACAGGGACAGTTCCTGAGTGCCTACAGAAGAAATGATGGGTGTGTCACAGTAATTTGTAACATCTATAGAACATGTTTACAGGCAGTTTTCCAGACCTGGGTTTATAGTGTTTTCAGATATTTATAGATTGTACTGTAGAGACAATGCTGTATGGTGCAGAGAGGTTAGTTCACCTCCTGTGTGGCACGTCAGTAGGCATTGGTAGCCAAGCCCAGAGTTGCTGCAGGGTGCAGTCAGTCTGCACCTGCTGGGCCGCAGGCATTGCAACGTGTTGCAGTAGAACAAACAAAATCACTGTCGTGCAGTCCATTGCGACTCGCGGACCCAGACAGGACCAGGAGAACTGCCCCATTGTGTTTCTGAGAGTGTGAGTGGCCCGCTGCCTCTTGATCCCGTTAATCAAGCAAGGTAAAATGGACAGTTAATTTCATTCTTTCACTTGAGAGATGGAAGCTACCGACAGGTCTCTTACGTTAAATGGCATGAAGGTACTTCATTTGAAAACCCTTGTGGGTTTGTTTCAGTTGCCGGAGTCTGCACTCAGGGACCTCATCGTCGCCACCATTGCAGTCAAGTACACTCAGTCTAATTCCGTGTGCTACGCCAAGAACGGGCAGGTACGTACACTGCCAGACCCCCACCCCACGGGGACTGTGGTCCTTCACAAAATCATATTCAGGAACTCTCTCTGCCTCGGGTACTGGACCGCTTGAAAGGGAAGGGTTGCCAAGCGGGTCTCCTCCGGGTTTGCCAGCATCTACTCAGCAACTTAGCCAACTGTTGAAACTGATGATTGCAGAGGAGCTTTGGCACCAAGGGCTAAAATTAGTCGCGGTGCCTCTTGCCTAGAGCGAGCTGGCACATGTGGGGAAAGGGGGGCTGTTCTCCATGAGGGAGATGGACTACGTGGCTGCAACAGTGAATGGGTTCGATGGGGCAGCAGCTGTGAGGGTGGTGCCAGGCCCAGGCAGTGTTTCCTTCTGTTGTCCGAAGGGAACTTGCTCAACAGGCACCTATCAATAAAAACTGCTATTAACAAAGCTGGTTTATGTTCTTCCCACTGGTGTTTTATCTCCTGTGAAAAATGAGTGTGGAATGGTACAGCCAGCCTGTATGTTTCCAGCGTGCAGGGTGTTCCCACAGCTGTTCCTCATGCTCGTTTATCAAGAACCCATTGAGTGGAGCAACGGTTAGACTAGGAGGTGTGCCGTCCTTTCAAGTCAGGTGTATTGAAATGTTCGTATACAGTGAACTTCACCTTTAAAAAAAATTTATTGGGGGCTCTTACAGCTCTTAGAACATTCCATACATCAATTGTAGCAAGCATATTTGTACATATATTGCCATCATCATTTTCTAAATAAATGCTTTCTATTTGAGCCCTTGGCATCAGCTCCTCTCTCCCCACCCCTTGTGGCCCCTTGATAAGTTACAAATTATATTTGATTTCCTATCTTACACCGGCCACTGTCTCCCTTCATTCATGTTTCTGTTGTTTATCCCCCTGGGGGGCTGGATTATTCATCGGTCATTGCAATCGGTTCCCCCTTCCTCCCCTCTCGCCCCGAGTTTATTCCTTTTAAGTGCAAATGTAACAAATTACACAAGTGCCTATCCACCACTGCCATTAAGAGAGTGGATATTTCTTGCTATATGAGGTTAAGCAAGATAATCTGTCCCTGGGCCGTGAGGTTTAAAGTGTAGACTTGAACTACTAGTTAGTTACCAAGGTGTCCCCTCAACTGTAGGATTCAGTAAGCTAGTCCCTCTGATAATAGTAGTAGTCATCGCATCAATCCCCTTGCTTCCCACTGTGTCAGTAGAGCTTGGTTTACTACTCTTGGTCTACCAGTAGGTAAAAGGGGCATGGACTACTATGTGACCTGGAAGACCCTTCCAATTGTGAGCCAGGTGATAAAGCGTGCCAGTCGCCAGTGTAACAGTCAGGGAAATATGTAGGTTAGTGGTGTCCGTGGACGCAAGCTCTGTGCAGACCACACGGAGTGAGTACTTCCTCCTGACTTGTGGGAAGCATGCACTGCTTGTGTTTCGCTACAGGAAGGAAACCCAGAGAGGACTGCATGGAGGACATTGCTTCAGACTAGAACCCAGTGTTAGAGATGCCTCGTGTCTGTAGCCTTTTTTACTTCTTAGGACCCCCTGACCCGATCTTTCTATCAATTCCTAGAAGTAAGTTAGTGGCTGAGTGAGGCCTTTCACATAGCCTTTATTTATGATCTTATTTTATGGCTATTTTAGGGGGTTTGTCCCTTTTTAATTACGGGTTCCATGACCATCAGAAAGGAGCCCTAGGACCATGGGAAATGTAACTTCATTGCAGTCTAGAAGTTTCCGGAATATGAATAGGCATACTTCTAAATCACAGCGAAGTAAAATGGAGCCATAAACCATTTGCCCTCACCTTTTCCCAGCGTGAAAACCACGTTTCTCTTATTTGAGCTTGATAATGTCTTGCACAGGGTGCACATGGACAACGAGCCGTTGGGAGCAGTGCTGGCAGAAGGCCGTTCATCTTAATGTCTTCTGTTCCTCAGGTCATCGGCATTGGAGCTGGGCAGCAGTCTCGAATTCACTGCACGCGCCTTGCAGGGGATAAGGCAAACTGTTGGTGGCTTAGACACCACCCGCGAGTGCTTTCGATGAAGTTTAAAACCGGAGTGAAGAGGGCAGAAATCTCTAATGCCATCGATCAATATGTTACTGGAACCATTGGCGAGGTATGAGAGACATCGGTTACAGGCAGAGTATATTAATGCGCTTAATCTTTTGTCTGTGACAGACCTAACTTCATCACTTCGTGCAGAAAGAAAGGATACTTTTTTCCTGGAAACTAAAAAGTTCTTTTGAATTACAGCCATTGGTTTCATTTGTTTGTGCTTCCTTTCTTTGTCATAAGCATTTGATGACAGGAACTATTTTTCACCTGTCTGGGGTACCTATCACACTGCCAGGCATGATCCTCGGCGCCTGATAGGTGTGTATTAAACATTAAACACAGAATGCCTGGTGGCAGATAATCATGGCTTGTTTTTTCTCTACCACAGTTTTCTACAAGTGTCATTAGCAGCTGAACACATTTCAGCTGAACACATTCCATGCTTTGTCAACATTTTCGCTGTTTTTAAAGGAAGATGTGTAAGAGTATTAAATTCCCTAGTCCCTGGGAGTCTGCCCAAAGACAAATGTGTCACCCAGTGACTGCGCATAGTCTGTCCTCGGCGAATACCGGGCAGAAGTTGGAAGTGAGCGTGCCGGGGATAAGACCTACCTACTTGGCTCTATCTATTAATTTCATTAGGGAGCGGGAATCTTTTCAAACTGTTAGAAAAACCGGAGGCTGCAGACTGGGCCTAATAGCCTTAAAGTATGTTAAGCGCCTGCTCTCTTTGACTTTTGAATTCTTCTGTTACTATTGCCCTTGAAAATCATGTTTATGGTCCTGGAAGGGTCTTTGTGGGTGAACAAAGTAATTGTGTGTCTTCACTGCCAGAAAGTTACACACCATGGAAATGCCACACCCCTTGGAAAGATAGGGACCTTGTGTGCCACGTTTCAGTTTGTCTCCAAGATTAACTGCATTCGGGAGATGAACTTCTAGGCAGGCGTGGCTCCATTGCTTCCTGAATTTGAATATGGAAGACTCATTGGAAAACCACGAGGAATGGGCTTTGCTTTCCCCCTTCGCTTTCCTGGATCCAAGAAGATTGCACAGTGCACACGGGGGGACTTCAAACTGTTGGTGTAAAAATAGAATCGCTCTGTACTTTTGAAGCACTGCCTGCTTTGTCCCCAGTAGGTACCAGGTAGGTAGGGCATCCAAGAACAAAATATCTTTGGATGAAATGGATATAGCAAGGAAAATAGTTTGGTCATTATTTGATAAACTTCCCCCCGTTTTCCCTCTTTACAAGCAGGAAAGAAAGATCCCAGAAATAAGTATGCGGGGGTGAAAGAGGAGTCGTTCTTTATATAAATGCCCGAGGGCTTCCTGGCGTTCTGGTCACCTCTGACCCCGCAGGTGGCGGTGGAGTAACTTTTCCTTCTGCCGGCAGGATGAAGATCTGAGAAAGTGGGAGGCGCTGTTTGAGGAAGTCCCCGCACCATTGACCGAGGCCGAGAAGCAGCAGTGGGTGGACACACTTGGTGAAGTTTCTATCAGTTCGGATGCCTTCTTTCCTTTCAGGGATAATGTAGACCGAGCTAAAAGGGTAAGTTTGGAATTGTGTGGCTGATATATGATGCTTAAGTAGAGACATCACAGGAACCATGCTTCTGGTTTTCAGGTCTCCGTGAGTTGTACTAAGATGTAGCTTAGATCATTTTGATGTCCCCATGTAATGAAATATATAGGGGTACTAACTTTGCCATTTCTGGCTAAGAGAATGAGTCTCCGGGGTGAATCGTTGTTAGCAAATGTTGGTCCCCAACACTGGCTTTGCATGTCCTTCCCTTTTCCTCCTGCAGAGTGGGGTGGCCTACATTGCCGCTCCGTCCGGTTCTGCCGCTGACCAAGTTGTGACTGAGGCCTGCAACGAACTGGGGATCATCCTGGCTCATACCAGTCTCCGTCTCTTTCATCACTGAGCCGTCTCATGCTGGTCTTCTGTAGTTTGTCTATATGACTGTGAACAATCAAACATTTTCATGTGTTTTTTCCCCCTCCCCAAAATAAAACATTAAATCTTAATGTTTGGATCCATAATACATCTTGGGGGTTGTGTTTGATTTGCCATAAAAAACCCAGAAACTTTAAACTGACAAGCTTCACACACAAGAGCTTGTGAGTGAATCACTGCGCTCATCCCAGACCTTGCCAATGCGTCTTCACATCCACAAGGCAGCCAAGAAACATGCTGCCAAGCACAAACGTGTGAGAGCACCTCAGTTTCCCCACAAAGGTTTCCCATGGCGTTCCTTTTCATTACAGTTCTGAGAAGCTTCTAAAACTAATAGCAGATGTATAATCTGAAACTGGAAGGGTGAGGATCAGTAAGTCTACCCTTGACCGACCCCCTTATGGAGAGTATATCTGTTTCCTAGTGAAGTTATTGAGCCCTTCACTGTGGTTGCTCAAGGACCTTGGCATTTCCCGGTAAAAGTTAACATCAGCTAGGTGTGTTTCTGCCCAAGAAAATCAGGCTGTTTGTTCTTGTAAAGTCTCACCGCCTCAGAAACCCTGAAGCAACCGTTCTACTCTTTCCTACAGGGTTGCAAGGGGTCAGTTGATTGGGTGGGGTTTTGCTTATCAGACCAATTAAAAGGATATTTTCTTTCTGATGAAGTGTAATTTATACGGAACCACTATAGTCTTGGGTGTTCAGTACGTGCTTCGAATCCTGCCTGCTTTCACCTAGCAAGCCCAGATCTGTCACCTGTAGGTTGCAGGTTATTAGTCTCTTCCTAAAATCTCAGTGCTATATTCTTCATGTTAGTGAGCCAACTTAGGTACCAATTGCATAAGCATGGTATGTTCCTGATGTACACTCCCTGATTTTAAGCCATGCAGTATCCTATGTTCTATTCCAAAGACTGCCATAGCCTTTGTATTGGTTTTTCATAACCACTAGTAAATAATGAAGATTGTCCATTCTTGGTAGCGGTTGTGTTATCCATAGTTGGTTATCCACACAGTGAAATACCCTTGCATAGTTAAACACAGATAACCTCTGTGGTGTTCTGTGTACTACTGTGACTATTTTACAGTCATCTTTAGCCAAACATTATTTGCATATATTCATGATATTGTTTGACCATTTCAGCGTCCGAGTTCACCTCATTTTGGAATAGGCACATAGATGGATTTCTTGGAGCCAGCTAGGTACTTGTCTTTCAGATGTCTTGACATAGGCAGAATACTGCTGGTATCACATCTGTTCGTTGAAATGTATCGATTGATATCCTGCCAGTTGCCACGACCTGTTTTTCCCTAGTGCTTTCAGTATAGCTGGGTTTCCTGCACACTGGTTCTTGGTCTACCTCTTGAAATCGTTGACTATTGAGCAGTTCTTTATGATGCAGGGACTGTTGCTTCCTCCTCTTAGTGCTTCCCTTGTTCCATATTTTGCTTAGATTCTTCCAGTATTATGCCTCGAGGTGTGTATTTGTTCTGTTTTGGCTTGAGAAATCCCACGTGGGTCATTTCCTCTTGGTGTTCTGGCTCCGGATCTCTGTGCACGTTTCCTTATGGGACTTTGTCTTCTCCAGCCGCCCTGTCCATCTTTTTTTCCATTCGCTGTAGTTGCTCTGCATTCAAGAGCAAGTGTCAGAGCCTCTCCTGACATCCATTCTGTCTGTTCTCCCAGTCTTTTTAATGACCTTTTTCTTTCCTCGTGTTTAATATCCTTGGTGTCATCTTCTAGTTTTGCCGGAGCGTTTTCTTTTAATTGAGTGACGTACTTCATAATACCTGACCAGGACTTGCTCCAAGCTGTACAGGCCATCAAGGACAAGAGAAATGGGGAAAACGTTAGTAACCAAGAGGAGCCTTACAAGTCGTGCCAATTAATTACATAGGATTATTACATAGTTTAGGTTAAAACTCAAGAAATCTGAATAAGGTGTGGGGTTCAGCTAATGTACCAACTTTGATTCATTACTTATGCAAATATGAGTTGTCTTCAAAACTTTGTGAGAAACACACATGAAAAAATTGGATTATCAAAAAATTGCAACAAAACAAAGTTGTGCTAACTTGTCTAAGTGGGATTTAGTTTGAGGCAATGTGGACAAGACATTAGTTTGAAAGAATCCATCTCAGCAACATGAATTCTGCTAAAACTAAAGCAAGAACAGCGTCATTTGTGATGAAACTTGAAGGTGAACCGCGCTTTACAAAAAGTTTGTGGGGATCATGCCCCAAAGAAACCGGTAGTTTATATACAGCATTTAAAAATCAGTGCCACGGGTTAATCAACGATACTAATAACAAAGGATCCTTAGGCTCCAGGGAGATGATCCACAAGATTCTCTACCCTAAATTAACGAGGTGTCTAAGGGGAGCCAGAGGCAGATAAATAACATACAGAAATTGATTTGGCACTCACACTTAACCTAAGAAAAATTAGTTCTTACAACAGCCCTGCCTGAAATCTTCATAATGGAAACACAGAAGATACAGGTGGCATAGCAAAGTGTGGTGAAGAAATTAGATAGTGTCCAGCTATCCAAATGAAGTCTTGGATCTTAAAAGCTTGTTTCCAAACAAGTGAGACATCAGCAGTCCACATGGAAGAAGCACACCAATATCGGTGATCCAAGGATTGTAAATTTATAATCCAAATCAGAAGGAGGGAATAGTAGTATCAGCTTAAATTGTGAGATTCTGGTTTGCAGAAGGCTGTGGGTGAAAGTGGAAGCCCAAAATACATTTGCAAGATCTACACAGGAAACAAAAATGATAAACCTGACTTGAGTGGTTAAAACCTTGTCATTTGACTTCCCCTTTGGGCTTGATCTGGTTTTCAATGCTTTCTGTTTTGTTTCATATTGGGATCTATTTATGATGTATTTTGTCATCTTGCATCTTTGTTACGTGTTTTTCTGGTTTTTGGTATGGCCCCAGGACAGGTAAACCTATAGAGACAACAGGTAGAATAATTGTTCCTGGGAGGTACAGTAGGGAAGTGTGTGGGGCTACACAGGAGCTGATATCAAGGAGTTCGAGAAGGAAGAAAATGTTTTGCAATTGATTGTGGTAGCAATCATACTGTACTGCTTGATTGAACTGTGCAATGGTGAATGGTTTGGAAAATTTGTTTTTTAAATAATTTAAACAGTTTAAAGAAGGGAAGGTAAAACCAATTTGTGAGGATACAATCCTCTGTCTCCCAAGTGGAGAGAACCACTTAGCAGCAGAAACAATAGCCCACATTATGGGGCATCTCCACTGCGTCACTTTCACAGTTCGGACTGAAAAAGGTGAGCAAGCGT